TCCAAGATTAGTGCAGCTCTCTCCATCTATCACAAAATAAGAGATATAGAAAAAGGAGAGTTACTTTCGAAATTCACCCAGAAAGACAGTGTATATGCTGGTCATTTGGGAGTTGCGGTAATAAACTTAATGGCCATTTTTTCTTTTGTTGTTAGATGATATTTCGGTTTCTTTTTATTAAGAGCAACCGCGACTACTGAACCATTCGTGCGCATAATTCTAATCCATTATTTTTATTCGAATTTCTAATTCTTTGGTTTTGCACAAAAATCCATTATGATCGATTATAATTGATTATAATCCCTCTTAATTGTTCGTTTTTTTCAAAGTTGCATCTAAATTGCTTATGTTTTATGCTTTTTGTAGACGTTGGTTCCTATGGAAAATGAGAAAAAGGTTTGTAAAGTTTCCAATCAATCCAAATATAGAATTTTTTTCATTTCTTCCCCATTAGAGTTGTTTCGTGATGCATCTTTTAATCTTTTTGATCATCAAAACATCAGCAAATTGATTTAGTTTCATGATTGATTCGGAAGATTTATTTTTCATCTAACGCGAGAATGTTTTCAGTAGTATGAAAGGATCGCTATGAAACTTTTGTTTCGAGGTAAAACTTTGTGTTCAGATGTACCAAAGTGTTCAAGAGATCTTTCTTTTGGTGATGTTCCTATTGACACAAACAAAAATAATAACCCATAAGAAATATTTCGAATATAGTTTTGAATTGACAAAGTTTTGGCAAAATGAGAGGTTATAATCCATTATAATCGATTATAATTGATTCTAAGGGTTTTTTTAAGAACTATAATCAATTATAATCAATTATAAAAGATTATCATCTTAGATCATCTCTAAAAAATCACGATTATAATCAATTATAAATCCTTTAAACACCTAATTTTGGTAATTATAATCAATTATAACTGTCAAAAAATCATCATAATAATCCGTTATAATCAGTTTTTCACGCCTAAACTTGAATGCGGATATATACAAATCTATATAATTTTTTATACATATACATATATGTCTATACATGCAATTAACCTTTAACCTTTTCTGAAAATATTAACAGAGCCGCGAGGATTTGGCCCTCGCGGCTTGCAGTGAAAATTTGCAACTCACGAAACTAACAAATGCGGAGAATAACTAGCGTTTTCTTGGATGCTGATTGTGTCACCCAACGCAGATTTTATTGCTCAGTTTTATAATATATATTGATATGCTGATTGTGATATAGATATTGATAAAAGAAATTTAACTCAAACAATGTCTTTTATATTCGAGTTTATTGCAATTTGTGATCTGCATCAATCAAAAAATTGAACGCTGACACTTGCGCAAACTTATCCTAAGTTTGAGATTACAACACTCAAGGTGGAAGCATCAAAAGATTATTTTACCATTATCCCAAAAACTGAAAAAATTTCAAATTCATTTAATCCGAAAACAAAAAGTTCTGTGAAAAATAACTTTTTTTATGGTCCTGATCGTTTAAATCGAAAAAATCAACAATTTTAAAGGGCGTTCCTTTTAAAACTTTTATAGGTTCCACTGACAAAGGTTGTGTATTTGTTTTTAATTCCGCGTTTGCTTTCATTAAGGCAGTTTTTTATAATTCACGCTTGAATTGATTGTGTACAAGCTCTCAGTTCACTAAAAAACTGGATAAGTTCACTAACAAATGCGAAAATGCGGAACTCGCTAGCATCGACAAAATTTTGATACAATTTTGATGCAGATTCAGCGATAAGAAATTGTGCCGCTAAAAGTTGCGTTTCAGTTTTTTTACAGATTCTGTTCCAACTTTTTAAGTGGGGTTTGCTTACAAATTTTAACATGTTTCAAGTTTCGTCTCAGGTATCCGTTCCGGAGACACACATGCCTTTTTAATCAAATATTTACTCGGACTATAGTTTTGTTTGGGCCATCAATTTTGTATACTCTTGATGACTTAAGTTTGGTTAGTTCATTTTGCTTACAGATTTCAATTATTGCATTTTACTTAGACATTTTGAAAATCAGATTTCAGGGACACAGATATTTTTTTCAATTTTATTCAAACTTTTTTCGAAAAAATAAGCTGTACGCAGCTGAGTTTTTGCAATTAAATCATAATTATTTTTTGGCGAGATGAGTTTTGCTTGAACCGACTTCAAAGTTTTGCTGTCAATTTGTTATGAGGTAGCATCATAAAAATTTAGAAAGAAATATTACAAAATCACACATTTTTAAGTAAAAAGTCTACCAAGGCAAGAAAAGCAACAGCTACTACTTCCCGCTTAATACCAGTGAAAGTCTGCCAACTAGAGTCAAATAAATCCAAAACTTCAGATAAAGTTTTGCTTGACAAGTTTATCTTCCGTTACGCAGATTTAGTCTGTTCGACTTGACAAAATGACTCAAAATCCAAGTTGTATTGTTCGAATAAGTTAGAGGTTTTTTTTAATCTTCCGAAAAAAGGACAAAGACAAAAATTTTTAAGACAGATTCAAAATTCAAAACTTAAGAGTCTCTATAAAGTTTCAATGATTTTTCATCAGATGACGAGAAATCGTAAAAAAAAATTGATGGGATTTTTTGATTTTAATTTGATTTTAATTTTACCTGGAAAACTATCGTGACGGATATTTGAGAAAAAAGCACATTTTTTATTTAAAACACAGTTTTGAAAATGAAAAAAAATTCTCTCTTAACAGTTTAAAAAGGTTGAGTCTTTTAAAATAACATAAGCTGCACAAAACTAAATTAGAAATTATAGAGTAAAACTTTTGTCGTGTTTTAGTTTTAGTCGGCCGTTACTTTTTGAAAACAGAAAACTTTGGCTGAAAAGTGTTGTAATAGTGTTCTGGGAGAGCTTTCCGAATGGTTAAAATCGGATTTTCCGAGTTGTTAAAATGTGCTCATTTTGCACAAAATTTTGCTTAAAATAAAATTGACCGGCTTGTTTAAGCACCTGCCCATTTTTTCAGGTTTTTATCATCAAAACAGTAAATTTTCTTCAATCACTATCCAGCTCACATTAAAAACCTGTCAAATTACTAGTCAAATAGCTCCATTGCAAAGCGTTCTTTTTAAATTCAATAGTATTGAAAAAGCTGATTACAAAGCCCTCGTATAAATTTTTTCTTTTAAACAAAAAGGTCGGTAGTTCTAGGTCATTCATATGGTTCGCTTTTCTGATTAAACCAATTTCGCAAAAAAACGAGCTTGTTTTGTTTTGCAAAAAAGTTGCTTCTGAGATTGAAATCGTTGAAAAAAAGACTGAAGAAAAAAACTGTGAGTGAAATAAGACATAGTTACTGTTTATACAACCAAGACGTATGTCCCTTCGTCACCAATACAAATACAGAAAAGATTTTTTATAAGTTTTTTTGTTGCCATTTGTTTACAAAAACTGCTATTGCTGACTGACTGCTGCAGTTAAATATTGGCGCCCTTTACTGCTATCATTACTCGTGTACTCCATTAACCCTCCAGTATCACCACGTGATAACTTTTTACTCTTCTTTGAGTTTCCTTTTAAGGATATTGAGCTGGGTATTTTCTCGGGGATGACTCCAGTCATGCGATAGTAGTCTAGAAACGTTTTCCCGAAGTTTCGACCTAGTTTTATGTAGGCTTCTTCGGTGTATGGTATCACTTGGGAGGAGGTTGAGGTCATGTATCCATAAAAGGAAACTTCTAACGTGTAGCACAGGGCATCTTCGTTCATAGCACCACCTGTGAATACAAACAGAAAACAAATAATTTGAACCATATTTTCTGATTTCAGATTCATTAAACTGTGACTATAGTCTCATCAATTATTTGGTGGTAGGCCAACAAGCCGAAGGGCCAACAAACCGAAAATAAGATAACCATTCCAACTAGCCGAAAAATTTCATTATTATGCAACATAATCACAGATTGCCATTGTTATTACGCAATTGTTACGTAATTCTTATGTATTTCACGTAAGTCTGATGTACTTTCGGCTTCAAGATATGGCGGTTAGTTGAATATCCACCAATTATTTGGTATAATTTTTCTTTGCTATTGGTTGGCTTGACTTTTTTCTGAGAAAGGATGACTCTTGTTTCTATTTCTTTATAGTTTGTTTTAGGCGATATCAAAAATTTGTGAAAAGAATGAAACCCAAAGCTTGTTCCATTTGTTCCTAAGACTTTTTCTATCTCATGATTATTAAAAATTACACTTCAGAAATAAAAGAAAAAAAATAACATGAAACAGTTCACAGCCCTTTTTATTTCTAGAATTTGAAGCCAATTTTTTATTTGAAAACTTTCGAGGCGGCTCAGAACCAAATAAAGTTTTGGCGCTTGTGGCAGCCAAAGGGCATATAATCTTCTTTGATATCTCACACTTACTTGAATTAAAAAATTCAGATTTGTATTAATTCATTAATAATTCTAAAAGTTCAATACTCGCCTAGATATCTGCGACCAGTTCCCGCCTTAACTTGATCCCTGTTGAAGTTTGTGTTGGCCATTGAGAAGTCATCGCAGTTATTCGACATGAGTCTCGGAAACACAGCCTGCCTCTCGAACCTGTTCGAGTCCTCGAAGATATTCCCATACATGAACCCGTTCATCAGCGTAGAGTGGGCGTGTATGTCGCAGTACATTTGCACATTCACGTCTTCATTCGCGTCTAGGTCTAGGAAGAAGTTTTTAGCCGCGTAGAGTGTGGGGTGAGCCCACGCAGAAGGGTTACCTAAAAAGAAAAAAACAATTTTGGCAAGCTTGTTTTTTTTTTCTGTATATTCTTCAATTTTCTCTTCTGTGTATTGAAGGGAAATGCGGGAAATTTTACGGGAATTATTATGTATGTTGAAGAAGTGAGAAGTGTAAATGAACTCAAATTTACCAGAAAAAAAATTGATAACTTTTACTTTTGAGTTTCAAAGAAAAAAAAACTTGTCATTAACTTTCATGAAATCATAAAAATTTCCTTGGTGCACTTTTTATTCATATAATAATTTTTTTTGAGAAATTGGACCAATAGATGCCTTTTTTGTTCCCCAAGAAACCAATCAAACATAAACTATTTTTTAAATTAACAATCAACCAAACTTTTTGTCTGTTTGGACTTCTGTTACCTGAGTCACAACTTGCCTTCCAACTAACATAAAAGTTTGAATGAACAACAAAAGAACAATGAAAAGTTTTGAAGAAATTACAAGTCAAAATAAATTTAAGCGTCTTTAAAAGAAAATTTTAACAGCGGTCTTAATTACATTCAGTGACTATAAAAGAAGCATAAAAGAATTGGCAGGCTTGTTTTCAGCAAGAAAATTTAAAATCTAATACAAGAAACGAAACATTTTTTTGATACTATTGTTTTTCTCAAAGCTAAATTATTTAAGACCGACTTTCTGAGGTTTAAGTTAGGTTAGTTCAGACCATTTATCCACGAGGGAAAGAAGCAACATATGAGCTGTGCAGCTCGTCACAGAGAACTGCTGTTGTGCCCCTGCTTAAGAACTACATGCAATTTTTTTTTTAACAAGCGGTGATTTCACTGTAAAAAACTGTGAAATAACTTCAAAATTATAGTGGTTTTGTTTGCATTTTTTTTGTTTAGTTGAAAAAAAACCAAACCGAACACTGAATTTTAACTATAAACCTATAATTGACAATGATTCGTAAATGCTTCTAAAAAACTTTGCTTGATGCGCTCAACGAATTTTATGAATGTCCTATATAATGTTTCATATTCATTATTTAAATACTACTTAACTTATTTATACTATTGATTTTTTTGATAACTACCGTTTTTCATAGGACATTAAACCAGCCAGACAAAAAATTAATTAGTTGCAAAGAGTCAAAATTTTTAACATTACCTAAATGTTTACACCTAGCCCTTGAACCAAATTTTTCACAGTTTTCTGGTCTATTGATTGAGACGTTGAGTCTATAAAAGCCTCGTGAATGCTATCAAAGATATAGGTATTATTTTGGTCGTGTGATAATACGACCAAAATACGACCAAAGATATAGGTATGCCTATTTTGGTCGTGTGATAATACACCTTTGTTAGCTGGCTACAGAAAACTTTGTCCAGTCCACTCAACGTGAAAAAAAAATGAACTTAGCAAAAAAATTATTATTTTAGAAGACATTGATATTCAAGTTTCAACAAACTATTGTTATTCCATTTTACGTAAGTGTCATTTTACTAAAAGAAACACTGGGATCTCTTGATAAATCCCTTTGTTTCAATTATTAGTTACTTATTGAAACAAAAGGATCTATCAAATGATCCCAATGTTTCTTTTAGTAAAATGACACTTATGTAAAATTGAATGACTGTAGTTTGTTGAAATTTGAAAATCAATGTCTTCTAAAACGTTGGTTTTTTGATTAAATTCATATTTTTTTCCAAGTTGGGTGAACTGGACAAAATTTTTTGTAACCAACTAATCATATAAATATAGGTCTCGGTTAGAATATATCATAGATCATAGTCGAGATCATAGTCGAACTGGTCCTAGATTTAAAATGATATTCATAAACAGATAAACTAGGAGGGTTAATTAAATCAATATAAATGAGTTATAAAGGTATGAACAACTGTCTTAAATACCAAAATAATTTTGAGGTTTTAGGATTGAATTATATACATTTAGGTTAAAGGAAAACTTTATAATCTTACCTCTGTCAGATCTCGAAAATTAAATTTTTTGAAATTAGCAAAGTCTAAGAAAAAAAAGTCAAATCATGCACTAATTTTTTTCTCAGTACGAGGTTTATTACACGTGAACAATCAGTTAAAAGTGTATAAAAATTCAGAAACATTTGAAAAAAAAATTAGACAAACACTAGACACTACAAAGCATAAAATCACAAGTTTTAGAAAAATACGTGAAAAGTCATCAATAACAGCCACAAAACCTTGAAATCTTAAGTAAAAGTCAGGGTGGACTTAGTGGGGGTGCGGGTGCGGGCGGACAATCCTGTCTCAGGGATTCGACCCCCTCACAACCGAAGGGTCCCTCCTTTGTTATTATTTTTTGTGACATCCGTGAAATGTTTCTTAGGGCGTCTTTGACGCCAATATATACTAATTTTTATACGAAGAGAAGCGCGCGCCAAAAAACGCAATTTTCGTTCAAAATTGTTTATAAAATTGCCAAAAACGGCAATTTTGGCCTGTTTTTTTTTTTCAAAAATTGGCTTTTGGCGCAGAAATTTTTGACAAAAAAGGGTTTTATAGTAATGCAGGAGCGCTGGGAAAAGCACTTTGGTCGACCCAAAGAAATTCAACAAATTTTTTGAAAATCCGCCTCCCCCTCCTCGGGAAAAGCCTGGATCCGCCCCTGTTTTCGTTTTTTAACGAAGTGAAAGCATTTGTTGATCATACGAGGTTAATTCACTATAAAAACTTCAAAACAATACAAATTTCATCGGCTTTTACATTATACTTTTAATGAAAACCCGTCAACAATCAGCTATACCAGGTGAAAGTTCATGTAATTTTACAGGAAATTTTTTTGTAAAGGTTTAAAAAATGAATATAATCTCGTGAAGACAACTGAACAAATTACTAGAAAATTCAAGCGCTTGACTTGAAAACAAAACAATGCATATGCTTTTGTTGTTTTAATTGAATAAAAGGCTAGACTTTTCAAGTGTTTTACTTGAAACCTCAAGTTGTTCTCGTGAACCTTTTTGACAAGACTTGGCTCGTAAAAATAACTAGATTTTTTTTTTCGCGAAAACATGTGAACATTTTTAAGAGTGTAGATACAAGAGGAGCACTTGTTTAGGCACTACCCGTGCAAACCCCGCCCCCTTAAGACCGCTACTGACCATACCCCAGTGTCTGTTGAGGTCGAAGCCCATCAAGGATGACCTGTAGTTGCCTAGATAGACTCCGTCAGGGTTGAGCATTGGAATGACCTTGAACACGATGTACTGTCTGAGGATCTGCGCCTCCGGCTGGTTCGAGATCAGAAAGTCAATCAGACCCTGGCACACGAACGAGGCCGGACTCTCTCCCGGATGTACGCGAGAAGTGACACCTACTACCTAGGAAGGTAAAGAAAACTTAGCCTTGTTTCTTTTCTTTGATTATTTCAATATTTGCTACAATCTTTTTGCAACTTCAATTGGTTTCTTTAAAATCTAAAAGTTTCTGGATGGTCGCGTCAACTATCACAAAGACTACCCTTCAGTTTATTCGGATTTAAAGTTTCAGTTGTTACATTTCAATTTAAAAAAAAACTACAACAGATTGTCTGATTGATTTGCACTAACAGTGCTGGACGAAAAAAATGTTGTTGTGATTTACATCATGTTTTGCAATTACTGCAAAACATATTAGTTTAATTAACTGGTCACTTTATTATGACCTTCATTGGTCATTCTCTCCGGCGGAGAGAATGATCTCTCATTGTTTTAATGTTTTAACTTACCGACTAATTCATCTTAATTCCATATTCTTTTTATAGTTTTAACTTAGAATTAGCTACAACAAAGTAACATTTTATCATGGCGCAGTCAACTAACGAATCTAACGTGAGAGGAATACCTCCTTTTTGGCAAAACCATACGGTAGACCCTCCCATTCCATGGGAAGACTGGAGCGATCTGTTTCAATTAGCTATCATTGCTAAGGAAAACATTGACATAGAAAATCTATTCAATCCGTCGGAGAGACAACACCCATTACCTCCAAATTTGGAAAACCCGACAGACGGTGAAACAGATGCCCAAAGACGCTCCAGATTAGAAAGAAACACTCAAGAGCAAAGACGGTATGACGAAGAAGAAACTGCTTCGATAAAAACTGAAACCAAGAAATTCAACGGAATGCGAATAGAAGAAGCAGACAAGAAATTACGTTCGGTTTTATATCTGGCACTGGGTAATGAAGGAAAAAGGATCTTTGGACAAAAATTTACCAAGGTGAAAGTTCTGCAAATTTCTTTTAAGGAATTCTGGGAGTTCTTAGCGATTGCATTCGTAAGAAAAACAAATGTCACATTTGAACGACATAAACTATTAAATAGAAAGCAACGAGAAAGAGAATCCCTTGAACAATTTTGGGGTGCCTTAGCCGAAATGGCCAAAAAGTGTGACATATCCGCAGGAGAAGAAGAGTGGATAAGAGACATTTTCATAAATAATATGAAAAACTATGACATTCAAAGGAAATTGTTAACAGAAACCCTCCCTCCACGCGAAGCACTAAATGTTGCACTCATAGATGAAAAAGGAATTTTAAACCACCTGAAATTAACAAATAATTTTAAATCCAACGGATCATCCGTACACAGACCAAGTAACCACTTTAACGTCAAAAGAGAACCAACCCTTAACATCGAAAAGAGTAACAACTGTATGAAGTGCGGCGGTGTATTCTCGAAAGGTCATTTAGCAGTTTGCCCAGCAAAGGACACGACTTGTACTTCTTGTAAATTCAAAGGACATTTCACTAGACTTTGTAAATCTCGTCGCAAAAATGTAAACATTGTAAATACCCAAATTGTAGATAACACAGATTTTAATCCGTCGGATATTCCGGATGTAAATACTGACCTCATCGATAGAGAATGTTGTGGTGTAATAAACGCATGGTCAGAATCTGGACAAAGTGAAAATGACGATTATTCTGTACTAAATGTAACTACGATTTTCGATAACGATGGAAAAGAATTAAAGAAATTATTGAACATTGGACTCGGAAAAGAAAACCAAGTAATTTTAAACATTCAAGTGGATTCAGCAAGCCCGGTGAGTTTCCTTAAGAAAAACGTACTTCACGAATTAAAGTTACGAGACCCTTACTTGAAAATCTATCCAGTGGATAAATCAACTAGAGACCTATACTGTGGATTCACAGATAATGCCATAAACATTACTGGAAAGGTGAAGCTTCCGATATTTTCAAACGGCTGGTCAGACAACGATTGTCAATTCTTCTTAACCGAGGGACACGAGAGAAATATCCTAGGGAACGACAACCTTCCAAAAGTGGGGATAGAAGTCTCTCAGAAACACTTTCCACATTTCCAGACTAACAAACAGTGTAAGTCAATAAATTCCATCTCTCAATCAAACCAGGATAGGGAAATTTTAAATATAACAAAATCTTTCAAAAATTTATTCCTTCGGATTGGAAAAATAAACAATCAAATGAAAATCACCCATTTTCACGAACCCTTAAAACCAATCCAACTAAAGGGAAGACGAGTTCCCCTTCATTTACTGGACGCGGTAAAGTCTGAATTAAATAGACTAAAGGCGGAAGGACATATCAAAAAACTAGAAAACTGCGACGAAGACAGATTTATTAGTCCAATAGTCATTACTTGTAAAAAAGATAAATCCATCAAATTAGCCTTAGACTCCAAGTTCATAAACAAACAGATTTACAAGAACAAATATCAAATGCCAAACATCCACGAACTGGTAGACAATGTCGCGGCACAAATTACTAATGATTCCGTTGGAGAAGTGTGGTTTACAAACTTAGACCTGAAAAACGCGTACAGTCAATTAGCATTAGATAAATTCACTAGTAACCAATGTAACTTCAGTATCGTGGGTGGCGACATTACGGGTACTTACCAATTTTTAACTGGTTTTTACGGCTTAGGGGATATGCCTAACGAATTTCAAAAAGTAATGGACTCTACATTAGGTTCAATCCCATTTACCAATTGTTATTTGGATGACATTTTAATCGCTTCCAAAGGATCCTTCTTAGAGCACAAGAATATCGTGTTAAAAATTTTATCAACTCTCGACGAATATAATTTCGCGGTGAAATGGTCAAAATGTAAATTCTTTCAAAAAGAAATAGAATGGTTGGGATTCAAAATCTCTAAATCTGGTATTACCCCATTATTCGACAAATCGAAAGCCATAAAAGACTTACCTATTCCGAAGAATTTGAAAGAACTACGTTCGTTTTTTGGTTCTACAAACCAATACATAAAATTTGTCCCAAACTTAGCATCCTTAGGAAGTCCACTTCGACCACTTTTAAATAAGAAATCATTATTCCAATGGAACGACGACCATACAAAAGCGTTTGAAAAAATTAAAGAGGAAATCGTAAACCTAACAGAGAATACCCATTTCGACGTGAAACGTAAAACTAGAGTAAAAACAGACGCTCCTCATAACGGACTTGGGGCCTCGCTTGAACAACTCCACGGGAACGATTGGAAAACAACCTCATTCGCTTCGCGCTTTTTAAACCCTCACGAGTCTAAATATTCTACGAACAAGCTCGAACTTCTAGGGGTTGTATGGGCCGTCGAACATTATAAGAACTATCTTTACGGATCAGATTTCGAAGTAATTACCGACCATAAAGCTTTATTATCCGCGTTATCACCAAATCACGGTAATAAAACCTACCACAGTAGATTAACAAGATGGGTAGACAGATTATTACCTTTTAATTTCTCTATCAAACACATTGCAGGAAAAGACATGGGTTTTACTGATCTTATTTCAAGAATCCCATCAGGAAATGCCCTTCCAATATCACACTACGACGAAGAATTCGTAGTAGCAAACATTAATAAGATTAATAAATCATTAAATCCGCCGGAGAAACTAAAAACTACCTGCTCAGCCATTGGTTTTAATCTGGAAAATTCCGATTATGCTTTATTACGTAATTACCTAATAGCAGCAGTGTTAAAACTCATTAATTCGTCTTTTCCAATTTGCTCATTTAATCACAAAAGAACAGAATTTTGTACTTCAAATTGCATTCCAACGGATTATTCGAATACAAATACTCTAATTATTTCAATTTCTAATTCCGCATTTCTTTAATTTTTAATCTCTAATTGTAGTTTAATTAATTCACCTGTAGATAAAAAAATTGTAGATACTGTTAATATGAATAATAAGAATATTGTAATTAATCCCACCACTTCCGGTATTTCCGTAGATTTAGACTTTCAACTTTTATCAGACCACGCTAATCTCGTTAAAAAATACCGTGAAAACTTGAAGTTGCCGGATCGACCCTTGGATTTAAATATTTTATTTAATGCCAAGTTAGTAGCTCTCTTGACAGAAGATGATCCCATGTTAAGCCCAATTGTTAAAGCACTTCAAAATAAGGTGGAGAAGATTAATGCAAATTCTCCGTATTTCAAACATTTTACCCGAGACCTGCATGAATCCGACGGATTACTTTATATGGACGGTAAACTTGTTATCCCATTTACTCTACGAAACGCAATGATGAAGACCTTACACGAAACTCACCCGGGTCAATTTGGAATGAAATACTTGGCTCAATACATCTGGTGGCCTCATATTAACAGGCAAATCTACTTCCACGGAAAAAATTGTTCAGAATGTACATCGGCGGGTAAGAATTTGAAAACTGTCATTCCTAAGTCACAAATTAGCGAACTTCCTCCACTATCGGAACCGAATGAAGAACTAAATTTAGATTTCGCGGGTCCTTTGGATTCTTACTGGGGGTCAAAGAAATACATTTTACTCTGTATTGACAGATTTTCTAAATTCCCGTCGGCAAAAATTACATCGTCCACTTCTTCAAAAACAGTCATAGAATTTTTACAAGAATACATATTCTTACACGGGATACCTTATTCTATAAGGGTAGATCACGCTACTTGCTTCACTTGTCAAGACTTCAAATCATTCTGCGATTCCAACAACATCAAAATAATCTTTTGTACAGTAGGCGACCACCGTTCCAACGGATTGGTCGAAAAATTAGTACACACCGTGAAAATTAAACTACTGGCTATTTCAAAAGAACATGATAAAAGCACTCTACAGAATGCCGTTTCAAATATCATCTGGAATTTACGTTCTTCTTATCAATCAAAAATTAAATGTTCACCCTTCGAGATACACTATAACAGAAAACCAAATACCATTTGGAAACAATTAGCATCCGGTAAACCCTCCTTTGGAATTTTAGACAAAGGGAAATCAATACTGTCTAAGGAACGAGCTAAGGATTGGAATGCAGATGACAGACTAGAGGACGGCTACAAGGACGACTTGATAGCCAAGAAAAACCAGAACCCGACCGAAAAAGGCTATGACACGGACTATGCTTCTTCCTCGAAAATCATCGCCAATAGACTACCAATCAAAAGTCCATTCAAAGGTAAAATCCTTCGGAAATCCAACGGCAATATAAATCGAGACTGTCTCTATAAGGAACTAAATAAAAGAATTATAAATTCTTCTACTTCGACTGTAAAGTTATCCGACGGAAAAATAATTCGAAAATCCGATATTGCGATTCCGATTTATACCTCAAACAAAATCAGACCTTTTAAAGGAAACATTTCATTCCCGTATTTTCCTAATGCTAATGTTGAAGTAGGTCAGAAACAGAAAGGACCATCACGGAAACCAAGATCAAGAAAGCCAACCAGAAGAACGGCAAGACAGTTGAACCCGACCACTTCAGACAACCTAACTAGGACATACGTATCAGGGTCTTCACACAAACATACCAGAAGACAAACACATCACGCAAAGAAGTCTACAACACCCCCAGGTTACTTCGCTTCGGATGAATCCATGATAATTCCTTCGGATATTTCGGACACTAGCGAATGGGAATGGATAGCGGGCGGTTTTCCTTGTAGAGACGTAGCCAGGGAACGCTTTATTTCAGACCTAAATACACCTCATGTCTCAATCAAAAACAATCATAATTCCGCTAAAACACGTCCCGAAATAAAATCTGAGGTTTTAGAAAACTACATTGACCCTAACAGCGAACAACCTAGAGAACAACCTTACGAGTGTCCAATAAGCATAATACCCGCCGGCAGAACACCTAGTACAGAGGAACAGAAAACGGTGACCCAGGGAGGGGACAACGACAATTCGGAGCATCAAAACGGACAAGATGAGTGTAATCCAACGGACAACAACTCGGTTACAGACTTCCCAGTCTACGAGATTAACGACTCATCCGACGAGTGCACTGTACTTACCGATCCTACTACTAAATCCGGTAAAATTACCCCTACCATCCGTCGTTCTGGTAGAAATGTAGGCCCACCAAAATTTTATGGCAAACGTTATTTTATTGACGCAGTAGATAACATACAAGAAATATCCGGTTCGGCGACCGATCCAATCGTGATTGAAATTGAAGAACCACATACGTCAGACAATAAGACGACTCCGGCGGAGCTAATCGTTCTTGACTCAAGTTCATCATCTTCGAACCAAATATCAACCTCATCAACGGACGAATCACTAAGGATGGAACTGGAAAATTTTGGCGATCATTCTGATCTAGATAGTGAGCTTTTCAACAAGGAACTCGAAAACTTTTTAAACGATTATAAATCTTTGTAAACAATTTGTTATACATATCCCAGTCACTTGTCATTTCAAAGAGCTCATACTACCCTATAATCGGTGCTAACCTCAGAGATCAAAACGTTCTTCAGTAATTTCGGATACGCTACCAAAAAGATAAGCGATCCTTTGGATAAACCGTCAGTAAAAGGAAAACAAAAGAAATTGGTGCTCCAAATTTCCCTAATTCGACCTGCTTTTAGTTGGTATAACTCAAACCAGTTATTCCCACCCATAAAACTTGGTGATAATTTTTTTTTTCATCTCGAATTCTTTAAACCCAGCTCATATCCGTCGGAATCCGGATAATTAATTCACAATTCTAGTTTTGAATTTAATCATATAGTGGCGCTTCTGTTTAATGTCATCTCCTTATTTATGGCGCTTGATTTCCTCTCTTTCCTAGTCTTTAAAGGAAAAACTTACGGCAATCTGGCAGTTGGTGTATCTAAAAGCATTACTTCACACATAAAACTCGACGACATCTACTCCATACTTCAATTTTTTTCAAAATTCATCTCATATCCGTCGGAATCCGGATAATTAATTCTCAGTTAGTTTTCGAATTTAACCACTTAGTGGCGCTCCAGTTAATGTCAATTCCTTATTACAGCGCTTAATTTCTTTCTTTCCTAGTCCTAAAGGGGGAGAAAGGAGTCAGACTTAGTTAGTTATGGTGCTTATTTTACTCGTAATTTAAAAAATTTTTCCTGCTTAGGGGAATGTTGTGATTTACATCATGTTTTGCAATTACTGCAAAACATATTAGTTTATTTAACTGGTCACTTTATTATGACCTTCATTGGTCATTCTCTCCGGCGGAGAGAATGATCTCTCATTGTTTTAATGTTTTAACTTACCGACTAATTCATCTTAATTCCATATTCTTTTTATAGTTTTAACTTAGAATTAGCTACAACAAAGTAACATTTTATCAAATGTACTTTTATGAAGTTTTTTCATTAGTTTTTTCTACCTTTTCTAAGTTTAATTGGTTGCAGTTTCTTAACTTTTTGCCTTGAGTACCCTTGAGTTACCTCAAACCCCTTCTTTGTTCTCTAAATCTGTGGGGTCTATTTGGAGCCCGGTTATTTGCGATCAATAATGAACCAGGTGCTAATAGGTATCAGGTGTGTATACCGTACCTTCTGACTCTTGTCTGGATTCAAGTTCTTCTTCAAGAAGTTTTTCTAGGTCGCTCGACTCGGGCATTATCTACACTTCAACTTTCTGATACAATGTTCACTAATTTTGTTATTAGTTTTAGTGAGCTTTAGCTGCACGTGCACCTGTCTCTTTCTTTGGGTTCAACTTCACTTTTCAAAGTCTTTCTTTTTTCGTACCACATTTATAATGACTTCAAATTTTATATGCAGCGGACATTAAATTTACAGCACTCTATTGAATAATTCTCATACCTTCTGTCGCTTGCCCGGATCCAAGTTCTCCTCGTTGGTGATTGTGAGTAGATCCAGTCTCCTCTGTTGCACTGTGCTGGTGAGACTCTCCCTCTTCACATAGGAGTACTTCTTCTTCTCTATCGCATCCAGGTGTGCCTGCAGTCTAGTGTAAGTGTAGGGGAAACAGTACGCGAACTGATAAGTGTCCTTCTGTCTAAAACAAATGCACACACAATACAACAGTAGTCTAGAAAAATGTTTAAATTTTAACATAGAAAAAAAAGGGTTTACAACAGAGTCTGGCTCTGCCAGACAATATAAGTAGTTTTTAATCGAGAAGGTCGAAAGGGGCGAAACATAGATCGAGCTCAGTCGAAACGGGCGACTGTGTTAGATCCAATTTAAGGCTGAGATCGGCTTATGTTTCGACTGCTTTCCACTCATTTTCGACTGTGCTTGGCCTATTTTGTTTCAATAGCAACCGAACCATGTTTCGACTGCTCTCAACTTGGTTATCGGCCATGTTCGAATTAACGTTTCAGCTCTCTCGACTTTCTCGACTTTTAATGAATATGAAATTCATGTGAAAAAAATGAAATTTAATTGGACGTTCGATTTCCATCTGATTTGCCGTACCAATAACTGACCTGAAAAGACCTATAAAGAGCTATAAAACACTATAATAAAACGTTATAAAACTTTGAAAGCAAAAAACGAATTCAGTCTTTGAATTTGGCTTGAGTTCTGTCTGCAAAACGTTGCCAAAATTTAATCTGCATAATAGTAACCTTATTTAACTGAAAAATTCAGACGATCCTCAATTTTATGGTGTAACCAGTCGTTTTACAAGGTTAATTATGAAGACCAAATATCTCTGTCATGGCCTATTTAGTCCGTATGTCACTTTTCATAACAATTGCAAAATGCGAACAAAAATTTAGCTTGAAAAATTTGCAGGTGGCGGGGGAGGGGGTAGAAAAAAACAGAGCCGGGATGACCAGAAAGAAAAGAAAAGAAAAAAAAAGATGTAATTTCCCGGGATGACCAAAAATGCTTATCATACAATTTCCATATATGGAAAAAGGTTGGTCATACAGTTTGCATCATTTTCTTCAAGAACAGAAATATGCATGAAAAGTTTTTCATCAACATTTTTTCCTGTATGCATACAACTTTTCCATAAAGCAAAAAAATGACGGTTTTTTCCAGAAAGTGACAGAAACAATTGACAAAGACTCTAGCTGGTTGTTCAATACCCTTGAATAACCAAGGCATTACAATTTTCACCATAATATGCATGGAGACTAGCCAAACTTCTGTTAAAATGAACAAACATTATATTAATATTATCGAAGTTGAATTATTTTTGGCTCAGATTTGGCTAGAATTATTCAAGGATGGTAATTTTTTGAAATTCAATCTTTGGACCAATGTTTTGCGCATAAAATATTTTTAAAAAATGCAGCAATAAAGATTTTTGGCTTTTCCTTTCCCCCAATTCGAATGAGCATTAAATTTATATTGTAACTTGTGGTTTTGCAAGGTTAATTATGAAGACCAAAAATATTTATACTTTGGCCAAATCATACCGCATGCCAATTTTCATAACAACAAACAATGGAAAAAAATCTTTTACTTATAAATACAAATTGTGGTTACTAAATTTTACTAGTGAAAACATGTGCAGGTGGGGGAAGGAAAAAATTAAAAATTAAAAATAATCATTACAGGCAATGGATGGGGGACGTCAGAAGATATTTGACATTGATATACCTGTCGAAGCAGAATGCAAAGGACATGACGTAGTTCTTGTGGTGGTCGGGACACTTGTAATAGTAGACATTCTTGGTCGGAAGTCTCTGCCACTTGGGCCTGCTGCTGCTCTTCACACAGGGCGTCATACCCTCCCTGTACAGCGACTTCGTCTTGCTGAAGTTCACTAAAATGCAACAAAAAAGGCATTTTTCCTGTTTCCCATCCCCCTCGTAAAATTACAAAAGGGCTTAGTTACTTTTTGAACCAAATAAAATATTGTTCGAATCAATTTAGAGGCTAAATTATTAGCTTTTTTCCAATCTTCCACATATAAAATTTCTCCTTTCATAATTCATTGTTGTTTTACGGGTTATTCTAGGTTGTTTTACGTGTTATTCTATTACGTGTTGTTTTATTGCATTATGACATTTTTAAAATAGTTTTTTTTACAATTCAACTTCAAATGAATGGGGGTGGGGGGGGGGAGAGGAAAAGAGCTAAATTTCTAAATAGTATATTTCAACTTCAGTTTCAGAAAAATTGAAAATAACAGAAATTCAACAGAAATAAACCAATTTCGATTATTTCTGACCTAGATTAAAGATGACCCGTTGTCCTTCTACTGTATTTTCCACAGTGAAGTTGAACCACACTCTGAATTTGGGGTTACAGGTGTCCGGCCGAATGAACAAATCGTACTCGAAGTCCGAAATATAATCCACCCTTCCTATATTCCCACTTTCGAAACAAGCGTCGAATATCAAATGTCCTCGTTTCGGTTTGTTCGAGTATCCCGGCGGCACGGCGCAGAATTTGTTCACATTGCCGACAACTGGCTCGTCCCCATTGTTGCCGACCCCGTCTTCCGAACCACTGCCAGTTGAGTCTTCGTTATTTAGCGAGCTCGGGTTTCGGCTTTTCGTTCTGCTACCGCTGGTGTTCGGATTCGGCGGCGGAGGAGCATGTGGTTCCGAAGCACTGTCGCCACGACTCTGCTGGTTTGTTGCTGTTGGCTTCGGGTTCGTGGGTGGCCTGGACCCGGGTTTGGAGGAATTCGAAGAGGCGCTCATAACTTACGGTCAAATCAGTAGTTGTTTGTTTTCGATTTGTAATTTATGCTTATTTCACACGTGGTAAATGAAAATTCAGCTTTATTTACAGCCCAGTAACCTCAAATCGACGTCTAGTTAGTCTAAACGTCAAACTTCGTCAGATAATAAAGGGATATTTTGATTACCTAAGAGTTCAAAATCGCCCCTCTCATAATTGCTTTGAAAACTTGTTCACCCAGTCAAATTAGATTAAGTTTGGGCGATCGTTTTCCTGTTAATTGGAAAACCAGGAGACTTGGATGTTCAATGGTGGCTTGGTATCTTGTTTGTTTTGATCGCCGTCCGAATATCCCGCCAGGTTTTCGCGACTGTTCACGTGGTGCTGGCTTGTAGCAGCTGATTCAAACAAAGAAATCACAAATCAACAGCACCAACAAGCCTCTATAGCTCTATAGCTGTATCAAATCGACCGCCGTCATTTTAAAACGACGCTGCACATACACGTGCGTTTTTACTCGCGCTAAATATATGGTGTAGCTTTTTGAAAGTTAGCTGCTAAGTCAAAAATTGACGTTTCTGCTTGTTAAACACGAGGCCAATAAAATGTTTCCACAGAGAAAAAAGTTACTTGGAAGTTACCATAAACTAATAATGATGAAAAAGTGATTAGGAGGATTTTGATTCGCTACAACCGATCATTCTCCAGATTCAGTCGCAGGCCTGTCAATAAAATCCGGCGTATATTACCGCATATATCCGCATTTATGATCATCATAAAAACCCGCGCAAATGTTTATCCATTTTAGCTTTTTCTTCCCGATTTCCCACCCTCTTCTGTTTGCTATATCTAACAAGGACAGCCAGTTACTGTGCAAGTTGCACAAAAGGTTCTACAAAAAAATACAACAAAAAAGTTATTTTTTTTTCTACAATTAGTGTCGTTTTTTCTATGTGGTGTAAAAGGATCTGAACCAAAAACTAGAGCTTAGGCAATTTCGATAGCCATAGTAAAATAAGCAAATTGGACAAAAAAATTAGTAGAAAATTGTTTAGAAAAAAAACGAAACAAGACATTCAAAAACTTTTCAAATTTTTTTTCCATTTTTTGATATTTTGATTCCAAAAAGCCGCTATAAAACTAAATTTACAATATAAAAATTTTTTTCGGATTAATTTGAGATATTAAAATAATCGGTTTTAAGCCCGCTCGCTCGATTTATTTGCTCGAATTATGACTGAAAATCAAGAATTTTAAATCTGTTTTTCTCGATTCTGGGTTAAGTTCTTAAAAAATTTAAGGATGTCCGAATCACGCGCAGAATAGCGTAAAAAATATATATTTTTGACCCCATCAGATAATTAATTGAGATTCCCAACTTTGCGTATAAAACGAAAAAAACCTAAACTAAAACACACCCGAACTCAACGTTCCTCCCCATTTCGAAATGGTCGGAACAATTATCTAAATATAAATAACATGGCAATTTGCAGGTTAGAAAATGTTGTTCAAATCTGTTCATGCGTTTTCACTGATGTTGTTTTATCGCAAATGGCAGCTTCGTCCAATTCTGAGCCTCATCAAAATATGACACCGTATTGAACAAAAAACTTTGAGTGGCGTTGGCTTTAACTTTTTTGTTTGTGGGCTTGGCGGCAAAAAAAACCAAAATATACGAATCGGCAAATCCTCTTTGACTTATCATTTTTCTCGATAGTTAGTGCCAAATTGTTTGCAATTTTGGTGACTCTGAGCCATTTCATCGTTCGATGTAGATATTCGGCAAGACGTCTCCTCTAAACATGCTTCACTCTACTCAACGTCCGCAGAGTTTCTCCCCTTATAACGTGATTTTGCGGGGGGCCTAAGGCAAAAAATTATCTACAGTCCCGATAAGCTTATATTAGTAGTCAAATTAAGTCGGCCCATCAAAAGGTTAAGCAAATTCCAACTTGAGTTGTTCTCTTTTCGGCTCTGCTCTTGCCTTCTAGCTAGTTCAGCAAATTGTGAGCACAATAAGTAAAAAAAAAACTTTCAAATGCAGCGAAAAACAAAGTAATTTACTATGCCCCTAATGAGCTAACAGCTATAAACTCTGTTTGCTATATGTAACCAGGACAGCCAGTTACTGTGCAAGTAGCACAAAGTGTTCTACAAAAAACAACAAAAAAGTTCTTTTTTTTTCGATAATTAGTGTAGTTTTTTCTATGTGGTGTAACTGGAGTTGAACCAAAAACTAGAGCTGAGGTAAATTCGATAGCCGTAGCAAAATAAGCAACTTGGACAAAAAAAAACTTGAAAAACGTTAGAAAAAAAAACGAAACAAGACAATCGAAAAAGTTTTCAAATTTTTTTTTCCCAATTTTTTGATATTTTGATTCCAGAAAACCGCTACACAACTAACTTCTAAGTTTACATGAGAAAAAACTTTTCAGATTAATTTGAAATATTAAAATAATCGGTTGTAAGCCCAATCCCTTGATTTAGTTTCTCGAATTATGATTGAAAATCAAGAATTTCAAATCGGTTTTTCTCGATACTGAGACAAGTTCTTAAAAAGTTTAAGGATGTCCGAATCACTAGTTGAAGAGCGTAAAATATATATATATTTTTGATCCAATCCGATAATTAATTCACATTTCCGATTTTGCGTAGAAAACGAAAAAAAAAACCCAAACTAGAACACACCCGAACTCAACGTTCCTTCCCAATTTGAAATGGGCGGAACAATTATCTAAATATAATTAACATGGCAATTTGCAGGTTAGAAATTGTTGTTCAAATCTGTTCATGCGTTCTCACTGAGATTGTTTTTACGCAAATGGCAGCTTGGTCCAATTTTGACCTTCATCAAAATATGAACAAAAAAACGTTGAGTGGCGGTGGCTTTAACTTTTTTGTTTGTAGGTTTGGCTACAGTTCAACTAAGTCCACCCAGTTCTAAACTTCGGTTCAAATCAAGTGAGCCATTTAAATCTACTGATCAACTATTCCTCTTGGCTTTCTCAGTTGTTCTCTCCGTAGTTCTAATTGAGTTGTGCAATTATAATGTCCAAGTGCACCTCCAAATTAAGGTATGTTTACCTAAGAAACTTCTCATGGACCGTCAGCGTTCTGGCCTCCTGGGACTAGGAGAGGTCCGTTTCAGATGTAGACACCGCAATTTAAGCTTCGAAAGATCCCATTTCTTCAAAAGCTCCCATTTGAGCTTCAGTTTTCAAGGGTTAGGGCTGGCAAGTAGGCTTATGTCCGGCGTTAATCCTAGGAATTTCTATGCGAATTTGTGTCAAAACGTCTTTAGGACATTTAAATTCAAAATGGAGTCGCCAGGGTCAATCTTTCTTATTTAGGATTAAAATCCCATGGGTTTCCCGTAGGAATTGTCGAAAGCTCTTTTTTCATTAGAGACGGTTTTTGAGTTCACATCTAGTGTTTTTTGCCGTCATACAACACGTACGCTTTCGCTGATTGTTTTTGCGGAAACTGGTTATTTCCGGTCTGAGGAGTGATTTTGCATGAGTGCTACTATCTTCAGGTCCAACCGATGGGTTTGTCCCAAACAAAAATACATGATGTAACTTATCACTAATTATCATATCCCAACCTTTTGGGTCCTTGTTTTCACTGGGCCAAAAAAAAATACTTCCAAAAGTCAAGTTGGGGACTATTTACTTAAAGCATAACATTGAAAGAGGGGTTTCAGGGGGTCTGACGTTCTAAACTTAAGCTTTCCTCAACAAGTTCTACAACAAACTAAGTGTTGATGCCATTCCAACCGCTAGTTACCGAATCTTAGCTGAGTCGTTTGCATTTTTGTCACCGTGATTTTTGGGCCAAGGGTGTCCGACGGGTACGGATTTTATTTACCTGGGTCAAATCATCACTAGTATCCGCCCTATGAGTTTCAAAAACTTAGCCTCTTTTGTTACGGTTGGGAAGGCGGGTAGACCAACCTATCTCGACTTAGGTTTTTCAGCACACAAGGGACTCATTATTTAAAGATCGAAAAACTTTGGACTTGATTGTTTGTTCACTTTCCGACTAATCTTGATGACCGAAAAACCTTAATAGTACGTACAACTCATCAACTTTCACGTCACTGCATGCAAATGCCAAGGTGAACGTCTTAATTGAGTTCTCAGTTCGCCAAAAGTGAATTAGGATCACCGATCCTTCAGTCATAAACGTATGTTTTTTTAGTTAGTTTTTTTGGAAAGTGTTTTTACTAGCTGAATTTCTTGGGAAACCAAAATTCGACATCAAAATAAGCAGTTTTTGGCTAATTAACATAGTACAGATTCGTTGACCAAAAAAAGATATTGCTAACATTTTGGCATTTACTTTAAATAGAGTAATATAGTTAGAAAAAAACTGGCAACAACGATACAATGTTTGAGCGAAAGGCAAGAAAGTTATAGAAGTTTCAATCCATCTAAAAGTTGCATGGTTTTAAATATGAATCATTGTGTCTCGTTTTGAAGGTGAACAGTAGCAGCAGTAAGGCTTTATAGCCTTATAACATAATCAATTTGGCAAACCTTTCAAATAGCTTAATCTCATTTTTTGAAATAACTTGTATCATCTTCATTTTTTTGACTCGAATGATTCAAGTTTCTCGACGCAAACTAAAATGAGATTTTTTGTTTACAAAAGTATCATAATGATAAGCTTCTTCTTTCTATCACAGAATGAGTACGAAAAGCACTATTGTTGAAACTGAACGAGCCCTCCACGTACGCATCTTTCTTTTTTCACCATTTTTAAGGCAAAAGACAGAAGGATATCTATCGGAAAAAACATCAAAAAATGTTTTTGAAATGTCGGTAAATGGAGAAATTACAGTGAGAATCAGGCAGTGATTATTATTTCACTGACCTGGTTGAAATTTTGAAACTCGTGTACCGCAATTAGTGCTCAAACAACGGATCTCTTTAGCTATTTCCCCCTACGGTACCCTGTAACGAACTGCCACCCCTATAAAGAAGTAATTCAAAGGTTAAGCATATCAGAATTTTAAACCTAGCAATGAATCCCCCCAATTTTGCAAAAGAGGGGGAATGGTTAAAGAGATCCAAAATGTTTAGCAGTGCATGTTTGGAGTTATTTTGCAAAGCTCTGTCGTATGTCTTAGCCTGCTCTGGCAGATATACCAATAAAAACGAATCTGAAAAGCTCGCCAGGTATAGCGACGCGGGCCGTAAGCCTTTGATATTATCCTCAGTTCCTGCCATTTAAAAAAAGCTAGTCAGAAAATGTTTCTTGATCATATATAATTCACAAATAAAACCACTTTAGTTGGGTATGTCCGACTTACCTTCTCGTTTTTTCTTCCAGTTATAATAAGCTATGATGATAGTTTGAAAAGAATTTTTAAACGGAGCATCGCATCACGAATACGTATCTAAACAGATGACTGCTTGTATCACGGCAAAGCCCTGGGTGAATGACAAGGAGACCGGTATGATCCAGACCTTGAACTTAATAGATAATTATGAGAGACAGCGAAACAAACACGGAAGGAGCAAAGAAGCTAATTAGAAGAAAATTATTAGCCGAATTTTGAGTCACTATTTGTTACAGCAGTTAGTCTTGATTTGGTTTGATTTAAGGGCGAGCAAGTTGTGAAAC